GTGATGGTGCTGGGGGGACCCAGGAGGAAAAAGCACCAATTTCCTGGGGCTTGGAGCAGCTTCTCCTGGGAGTGGGACCACGTTCGAGGTCAGGGACACTGCGTGTCCGACCCACAGAAGGTGTGATCCTACCTGGGCAGGTGCCAGCCTGGGGTCTGGAGGGGTTTCCCTTTCTCTCCCCCCCCAAAATATTCCCGATTTGGGGTGCAGAGGGGCAGCTCTGGACCCAAAGGCTGAAGAGGGGGATGATGCCAGGCGGTGTCACTGTCCCACCCCAAGCTCTGCCCCATGGCGGCTGCGCTCCCCACTTGTTTACATGTCCCAGACCTTCCCCCTCTTAATTCCTGCAGTAACCAAAGCAAGGTGACGGATTAGGACATCCTCATGAGTCAGAGATGAGGTCAGGAGCTCGGCAGCCAGCTCCTCCACGCTCTGGCCCTGCTGATTTCCACCCCCCCCACCCCCCTGGTTTATTGGGAACACATTGGGAAGGCGTTGGGGGACACGAGGGCGCGGGAGGTTTTGTTATTTGTCACCTAACGCTGGCCTGTCCCTGCATCCCAAGAGGTTTCTGAAGCCTTTGCATGGGGAGGTGTGTGCTGGGATGAAGCAGAAGCATTCCCCGTGCCTCAGTTTCCCCATTCAAAGGGAAGGGAGGACTCTGGGCTGTGTCCATCCCTCTGAGCTCTGGGATTTTTGTAGGGAAGAGCGAGGGCAGCTTTCCCTGGCGTCAGGGCTGGCAGAGGAGCGCAGAGGCTCTCCCAGAACTTTGCTGAAGCAGGAAAAAAATCATTAAAAAAATAAAAATCACCCATTGCAGGATTTTTGGAAGAACAATTTATTCCTTCTGGGTCCCCAGACCTGCAGCAGCTCCCTGGGGGACAGCTCGGGGCTGTGCAAAGGGGGGGCTTGGCTTTCATTTTTCTTTTTACCCCTCCAACCCATTAAATCCTGGGCTGGTGGGTCCTTCCCTGCATCTGGCACCCGGGCTGATGTGTGGGGAGTGGGTCCTGGGGGGAGCTGGGGTGGGGGTGACTGTGGGTCTGAGGGGGGACTGAGGGTCAGAGGGGCCTGAGTGACAGATGGGGACAAGTGGTGAGTGTGGCCACACGCCAGGCGTGGCAGGAGCAGCTCTCCCAAGGAAAATGAAGATGTTTCCTGTCACCCCCTGGGTGTGACCCCACCTCTCCTGATGGGTGACAGCTCCCAGCTGGGTCCCCAGCCAGAGCCCATCGGAGGGACATGGTGGGACCAGGGAATGGGCTGTGTGGGGCTGGCTGCACCCCGGGAAATCACCTGCTCTGCCAGTGTCCCCAAGGAGCTGCCACCGAGCCACACGTGTGGGGACCTGCATCCCTCGAGCGATCCCTGCCCGGGCTGGGGTGGCTCTTGGCAGAGCTGCCACGTGCTCTGGTTGGCCACAGCGAGGGGACTTGAGGAGGCTGAGGGG